CTCTGCTAACCCCCTCTCTGCCCTTCCAGGTTGACTATCTCCGCCTCCCCTACAGGTAGGAGCTGCTTCCCGGCGGGTGGGCGGCCCACGGTGGGGAGGGGAGGGGTGGGGCCGGTAGTGGGCGAGGGCGGGAGGGAGCCAGGGTGAGCGGGCAGTTTTTCCATTCAAAACCGGTGGTTCTGCCCTGGAGAGTCACTGGGCTGTCTTACAGGAAGTCACACCTGGGGACAGCAAGCCAGTTCACACCCACACACCTGACCCAGGTGGGCCTTCTTCATCCTGAGACCCCTTGTCTCCTCTGTCCCCCAGGAAGTGGCAGCTACAGCACCACGTCTGCGTCTAGCACCTCGGTTTCTGCCTCAGTCTCTGGTTCGGCCTCCGGCTCCGCCTCTACCTCCCCCCGGCGAGTGTCTGATATCCGAAGGTTTTAACTCTGCCTGGTAGTCACTCCCTCTGCCTGGGGGACAGCTGGTGCTTCCCCGGGGCCAAGGGGTGCCTCAGAGACCCGGCCGGGATCCCCCCATGCTGCGCACTCGAGATTTCTCAGCTTCTCTTCTAAAAGAAACAGATAATCCAATAAAGCTTCCTGCCTGCTTGCAAGTGTATTTCGGACTCTGGCTTGGTTTCTGAGGGTGGCCCTGGTGTGGGGCTGTGGGTGAGCAGGGTACAGCTGGGCTGAGCGGGAGGGGACTCCTCTCTGGAGAAGGACAGGAGAGGACGTGGTTGCTCCCCGATAATGGGCCCTAGCCAGTGTGGGCAAGAGGAACCCACCAGGGACAGAGCAGAGGCTGCCAGAGCCCTGTGGGGTGCTCGGTGTCAGAGAGAGCGGCTGGGGGCAGCAGGGTTGGGGGCAGCACAGAGGGTGCTGGGTAGGGTACGAGGGGCCTCCCTGGGGGTGGACACTGTCCTGCCCTGCCCGCTCCTCCCACACCCTGCATGGTGATGGCTCCCTGTGGCCGAGGCCTCCACCCCTCTGTCCTCCAGCCCACCCCAAGGACCTGCAGCTCTGCCCACTCGGGACCAGCTTGGGACTCACAGAGGCCTCAGCCTGTCCTGACCTAACTCTCTCTGGGCTGCAGTGCCCCGGCCCTGCCCACTCCCTGCACACCTGTGTGGCCCCCAGAACCTGCCCTACGTGCTGATATCCTCTCCTTACCCCCCACTCCTCATCCGTGGGTCCAGTGACCCATCTGCTCTGAGGGCCCCTAGTCCTGGGTCCCCAGGGGAGCCTCTCTTGGCTTCCTAACTGTGGGCAGGACCCACAAGTCCTCCTAAGCCCACAAGTCCAGAGACCTTCCTGCCTCGTTCTCGTGCTGGGCAGCCTGCACACCCAAGCCAGAGGCAGGTGGCATCTTGGCCCCTCTGTTTCTCTGCTCTTTACGGGTCCTTCCGATGGAGGCGCCCAGTGGCCTCAGTGTCCCCTGGCCTAACTCCCCCCCTGTGGTGCCACAGCTTCTGCCCAGCCGCCTGCCTCGGTGGCCAAGCCCTTTTTCCACCCCACACTCCCTTGGGCTGAGCGTTTCTATCACCCCAGTAGCAGCCCCGGCCAGCCACAAAGGCGCAGATTCCTCACTGGTCTGAGGAGGGGGGCCTGGTCCTTCCTGCCTCCTGCACCAACCTCCCCAGTGCACCCCAACACCTTGCACCCCGAATGGCACATGGATGACCTCAGGCTGACCCGACCTTCCTCCTCCTCTTCCTCTATGTACCCTGTGTTTGTTTACCAGGTTTTTACTGAAGGTTCAGACAGGAGGCAGACAGCCCTCAGTGTATGTACCCCAGCAATGGCAACATCCCCCATGGGATGGGGGTGTGACTTCCACACCCGGGGCCGAGCAGCCCCAGGAGACAGGGCTCAGCCAGTGCTCATCAGAGGAACAGAGGGGTGGGGACCAGGGGCCCTCAGAGCAGGGCTTCGGGCTGCAGGGGGAGGTGGTCTCCAGCAGAAGCAGTGTCTACTCCCACCAGACCTGGCTTGTACCCTGGCTCTGCCCCGTCTCCCTCTGTGCCCGGGAACAAAGCAAGTGCTCAGCAAACAAACTTCTGGTCAAGAGCTCTCCGCTGCTCTTTCCCAATGGGAGCCCCTTCAGTCAGGGATGGCTCAGTGCTCAGCCACATCCTCACACCCAGGATGCCACAGGTGCTGAGTGGATGGTCATGAATGAGGAACAGGTAGGCGTGAGTGACAGGAAGTGGAAGGGCCAAGCAAGCGTCCTGCACTGAGGGCACGAGGAAAGGAGCCCCTGCCCAGACAGCGGGGAGCCTGGGCCTCCAGGCCTTGTCCCCTCCCAGCCAGGCCCTTGGGGTGTGGCCTCCCCACGTCCTGAGTGGGCTTGGGCACCGTGAGAGTGGTGGGCTGAGCAGCGGCAGCGGGAAGGTGGCGCCCTCTGTCCCAGGAGCTGGGAGAGGCGTGGTGTCCCCTTAGTCACCGCAGGGGTGGCCCCTGAGGAGAGGAGAGCAGAGCCCTCAGACCTGTGGGCCAACGCCGCCCCTCCCTGGGCTGTCCCTGCCCTGTCCTGCTCCCTCCCGGCTTCCTTGTGCTGCAGCACTGAGCAGGCGGCCCCATGCCACGGTGGCCGAGTCACCCCTGAGTCAGCGGTGTGGATGCCAGAGTGCCAGGCAGAGGGCACCAGGGCAGAGGGGGGGGACAGCATTCCTGCACTACGTGCTCTCTGCGCTCCTTCTGAGGGCGAGTTTCATCTTCACCGCAGCCCGCAGGGCACCGTGCGCCCCCTTCACACTCTACACCGAGGCCCCGACTGGCTGAGCGACCCACCTAGTGTGGGGCTGGGATCCCTGCTTCCAGGGTGCTCCAGGGAGAGCAAGGCTCGGTCCACACCTCAGAGCTCAGGGGCAGGAATCGACCAGGGGCCCCTGTGGTGCCTGGAGGCCCTGGTGCTCTGTCAGGCTCTGGCGGGCAGGGCCGGGCATTCAGCAGGTGCTGTACCTGGTGGCCACAGCTCGCTGGCTCCTGGCTCCCCCTCAAGGAGAGCAAAGGGTGCCTCCTGGTCCCCAAAGCCCTGCCCAGCTTAGGGGCCAGCATCCCATGGGGCTGTCTGCCCTTCCCTGGCCCTGCAGGGGGCAGACTCATGCCAGAAAGCAGGTTGGTGTCTCTGGCCACCTGCCAGCACCAGCATTGAGGGGCAGGGCCTGATCGAGTCCTGCCTGGGCCCAGGGCCAACAGGAGGCCTTTATGTCCCCAGCCCGAGGCAGCTCAGAGGATCTACAAAGACCCAGTGCACAAGTTGGGGTACCTGGGCCTTCCTCGCCAGGGGAACCTCACATCCTGCCCAGAGAAGCCAGGACCAGGGCCACGGCAGGGCTATGTGGAGGGAGTGCCGGGGGGTGGGGTTCCAGAGCTCTGTGTCCCCTTGGAGCCCTTCCTTCCTCCCTGCCTGGGACCTGTGTCCTTTTGAATGGTTCCTAGGGGCTGTTGTGGTGGAGGGCACCCCTTTCAGCAGCTCTTGGGAACCTGGGGAGATCTGGGCACCTCCCCCATCCCTCCGCAGAGTGGAAAAGGGACAGGTGGGTGGGGCTTCTGTTGGGCGGGCACTGGGGGAGCTGGCAAGGGTCTGGCTGCCCTCTTTTTTGGTACCGGGGATCGAACTTAGGACCTTGCGCTTGCTAGGCAGCCGTGGTGCCACTGAGACACATTCCCAGCGCCTGTCCAGCCCATTTTTAGGAGCACTTATAACAAATCCTGTGGTCTTTCATCCAAGCTTCTGGAGCTACTTGAAAGCATAGCCACGTTGTGTGGCACAGCCGTGGACGCACCGTCAGGGGAAGGAGGTCAGGCCCGCCGCACCCTGGGCCCTGCCAGTGCAGGCCGCAGAACACAGTCACATCGGTGACAGGAGAGCTGGCTTTAGGGTTCAGTTAAGCGATGCTTGAATCAAGGGGACCAGGACACTGGAATGCTGGTTCCCAGGGGCCTGAGCCTGCACCTCCCGAAAACCTCAGGATCTCTGAGGGCACGGGAGTGGAAGGAGGCTCTGAGAGTCTCCCAAGGGCCTGGGGAGCTGGGCCAGGCTCCGAGGGGAGGCCCTGGACCTCCAGTGCGGCTGGCAGGAGGAGCCGCCCCCAGCAAGAGGGCAGCAGGCCCTCGGAGCATGGCCACCACAGGACCGCAGAGGTGTGGCTTCCCGCGGGGACAGGGCGGCTTCCTGGCTTTCCACCGTGACAACAGCCCTGGACAATTGCCAAAGCCTCCCCCAACGGGGAGAGCAAATGGTTTTGTCACGGAGGAGACGTGTGATTTCCAGAGCAGTTGTGGGCTGGGGTAAGTGGTATTTGTGTTCAAGGCCATGTGAGGGCCACTGTGCTGGAGGCCTGAGGCCCACAGGCCTCGGAGAAGTTTAGCATTTTGGGAGGACCCACTGCTTGCCGCCTTGGCGGTGCCTCGTGAGCTGTTCCCAGGAAGTCTGTGCAGGGGCCTCTCTATTTCCTTGTGTGCCTCCAAGGTTGTCCCGGGCCCGGGCGGTCTGGTGACACAGGAGGGGGAGGTAGAGGTTGGGCCTCTGGAGACGTGAGCATACAGAGACTTGCCAAAGCCTAGCTGGAAGGGCCTAGTCACTGCCAGACACAGCTGGACTGGGGCGGGTGGGGACCTTCCCTGAGGGGCCGGACCAGAGGGAGGATAACCTGGTCCCCAGTGCTGCTCACTGGGCCTGGAAAGGCAGGCATGGTAGCGCTGAGGCCAGGGTGGAAGGGAAGTGAAAGGTACGATTTGTCGAGGGAAGCAGGATATATCTGTCCCCAAGGCAGCCAGTCGTGGCGTCGGGCCCTAGAAGGAGGGAGAGGAGCAGCGGTGCTTCTCACAGAGGGCTGACAGACAGCACACAGGAGGCCCAGTGAAGCTGGCATTGCACATAGACAACCGATAACATTTTAATATAAATATTTCCCAAATATTACATGTGTTTTTTATTTGCCGACTCTGGCAACCTTATTTTTACCAGGTCTGTGAACGGCCCTGAGCCTTGGGCCATCAGACTGAGCTCTGGCCTGAGCAGACTCTGGGAATACTGAATGGGTGGGATACAGTTAGTCCACATAGATACATTGTAACCAAGAGACACAGATACATTGTAACCGGGCAAGCCACACTGTTCGGACAATATTGATACATCACAACTGGCAACATGGATACATTGTTACTGGGCAGCCAAGAACCCCAGGTACTTTGCAGTTTGTGTGGGAGAAACAAGTATCAACTGTGGGCACTCCGGTGTCCGGGGTGGGCGTGGGTGGGGTGTGAACCGCTTAGGGGACAGAACAGCATTTCTCAGGTGGGATTTTGTGGTGGGACTGTGAGTGGTCGTATGAGCAACCAGAGGAAGCCTGAGCCAGCAGGCTGCTGCAAGGGACAGAGCCACCGGCCTTCTAGAATGGCTGGTGACCAATGGTGTCCAATGGCAGCGGCCTGGCTGCCCACGGGCTGCTGTCTGGGCCACCTTTCCGCTGCCTTTGGGGTTCTGTGGAATGTGAGCTGGCACATTTTGACCAAAGCCCAGAGAAGTACGCAAAGGGAGACCTTGCTTGGGAAACTCATTTCCTCCCAGAGCACGCCCTCTGTCTGGTTGGGCATCGAAGACTCAGGCTTGGTTTTAGGTCTTTGCCCGTACGGAACTCTGGCTTTCTGACGGAGGTGTACTTGAGGGTGGGGACTTCTTTTGAAGGAAGCAGAAACAGACATGGCAGTTGATCTTGGACTTGATGCTTGGGCAAAGCGTGCCTTCTGCTCCCTCCCCCAGGGGTGGGATCACGGTGGGCAGAGAGCACCCTCTGGGTCCTAGGACTGGCACCTGAGCTCAGGAGTCTTGAGGTAGTCCTGGCCAAGGAGACCAGCACCCTTCTAGCAGGTGCCTTTCCCAGGAGCCATCCCATTAACCGGGTGGGTGGCTTGTGCCCTGGAATCAACATTCAGCAGTGGTTCAGGCTGTCTGGGTCTCAGCAGTTTTGATCCCTTAAATCCACGAATCAAATTCCAGTCTGTCAGGCCTCTCTTTGACTCGGTTGTCATGGCCCTGTAACCATGGCATCAGCTCCGCTTGCTGCGGGGAGACAGAGGCTCACCAGGCACTTGCCTCTGCCGCTCAGCCCGTGCTCTGTAAATTCCTTTTTTCTGCAAAGTGAAGTCTCCAGCTCAGGTGGCCCACAATGCCATCAGCCTGGATGTGCTGGGACACGTGCTCAGTGCTCCATGTCTTTCCACAGGAACAGCCTGGGAAGGGGTCCCGGCTGTCACTCTGCCCATGGAGGTCAAGGCCGGGGTCAGGGGAGGGGCGCCTGCTGCCCGTTCTCATGCTGTGCCATAAGGAGGCCGAGGGGGACCCCAAGGCCCATGGGTGCCTTCAAAGCAGACAGCTGAGCTGTGGCATGTGCTCCAGATGCTGGGGGAGGGTGAGCGAGCCCCACCCTGGCAGCTGTCAGCACCTGCTCCTACCGCGTCTGTGACGGAGGGGCCCCACTCAGCACCCGGGGCCCTCCTTGCTCACACGGGGCTCTAGGCCCAGAGAGGACAGGTGCTGGGAGCTGGGGTAGGACTGGGCGAGGAGCCCAGGGCCCTGGACCCACAGGCCGGCTACTTTTGATTGAGGGGAGAAAGCGGGTCACACAGCATCGTATTCTGAGGTAAAACCTATGAATGGGCACCTTGGCTCCCTCAACTCTGACCACTGGGGTGTTCTCTAAGGCAGTGCTGCCAGGAACAGGGCACCCTGGTGCTGTCCCAGGACGTGATAGTGACAGACCCTTGAGTATTATTTTCTCTCTCTTTGTCTCCCTTGTGAAAATCAGTGAAATTGAAAAACCTACAGAGAAAAATTACAAGGCCAAAAAGTAGGTTAACTGAAAAGGTGAGAAATGTTGGTAATCTTCTACCTATGAGAGAGAGAGAGAGAGAGAGAGAGAGAGAGAGAGAGAGAGAGTCAGAAATGGGCCCTGTAGACATTTGAGGAATAAAAAGAAAATACTATGAATAACATCATGACAACAAATTTGACAATTTTGGTGCATCAGACACTTTAAAACATTTAACTTAAAAAATTGTATAAGAAGAAATGTGAACTCTGAATAGCTCTGTAGCAAACAAAAACCACCGAGTCTGTGATAAAAAATCTTCCCGGAAGATAAGCCCCTGTCCGGAAGTCTGGGTCGGCTTGACACGGATCTAGCACTGGTCCCATGACCTCCGTTCCTCCTGTGACCGCCCTGGCTGCTGGGCTGGGGGAAGCGGAGGAGTTGTCTCCCTGAAGTCCTTGCTACACCTCCCTCAGGGACACGACCAGGAAGCCTTCAGCTGGGATGGGGCAGGACTCCGAGGGAGCCAAGAAATCGCCTCTGTTAACACAATTTTGTTTTTATAATTTTAATTTTTATTAGCACTTGTTTGCTGAACGCAGTGATTGCATTCACAGCGAGGAGCTGGTGCACATCCGTGATACACTCCGGTTTTCATGTCCGGTTCCCCTCCCTCCATCTCTCCGACCCCTTCCCGTTTGCAAAATACGTTTCCTATCATCTGTCTTGTATTTTTCTCTGTAATTCATTTGTACTTTGCATTTCTCATATGAGAGAGACCATGCGACATTTCAGCTCGTGTGTCTGATGTGTTGGATTCAACATTACGGCCTCCTATTCCCCACAGGTCATTCTAACAGCAGAGTAGTGTGTCGTCCACTGCGTGTAGTGCCACGAACTCTAGATGGCTTTGCTGGTCATAATCGAGGTGAGGAGCAGCTCTGGCATCAGGTTGCAGAGCCCAGGGGTCCTGTGGTGCCTCTTAGAGCTCACGAGCGGGCCCGGAAACTCCTGGCCCCTGGGTCAGCCATGCTAGGGGAGAATCCAGGAAAGTGGGAGATGGGTGGCTGTGAGGAAGAGGGTGCTGGCCCCCCAGGGACTAGGAGGGCTGCGCACGGCAGACCCGGGGAAAGCATCACGGGCTCTCCAGGCGCCCACTGCACCAGGCCAGGTGTGGTCAGCAGAGCCAGGGCTCCCTGACTAATCGGTGAGAGAAGCTTATAAAGTGTTTTAAGAGGTTGGCAATTACAGCTTGAGAAGCACATAAACGCTAGCATAATGCCAGCCTCGCCAGCTAGGTCTGAGAGAGGACGGCGAGCCAGTTCCCCGAGCCCTGGGAAAGCCCACGCTTTGAGGCAGGAAGACAGGGTTTAACTTGGGTCCTTCACTCTCAGCATCCCTTCCTCCTCTTGCACAACGGTCTGGCAGGATCTGGGCTTGTCCTTTTTCTTCCTTCTCTGATCGAAGAGCCTGCTGTTGACCATCTCTGTGACCCGAGCAGGGACCAAAGGCCAGGGACCCAAAAAGCCAAGGACCACAGGGAAACAGCCCCCAGTCCTGCCAGTGTCTGCAGTGGCAGGTGGCTCCCAGGAGACTGAGTTTCCAGGATGTAGGGAGGGCAGGATGCAAGGTGCCCTCCTCACCATGCTGTGCCCGGTGGGCAAAGGCCCCAGCCTCCACCTGCAGCCCTCCGTGCCTCACATGAACTCATCAAAGACAGCCCTGGCTGCTGTGAGCCTGGCCAGTGCCTCTGCAGTACTGATGGCCACCGAAAAACTGTTTTCTTTTTATTCCTCAGAAGTCCTGTTCTGTCCTCCTCATATCTGGGCGAAGCAGGCGGGACAGGGTGATGATCTCAGAGGTGGCATGACTAGCATCAGCAGAGCTAGGACTTGAACCTCGGGCTCCTGTCCCTGGATTCTGGGTGACCAGACTTGAGTGCAAAGCCACAGAACAGACAGGGTTTGATGCTGATGGCCCTGGCACCGCTCACACCCTCAGCACCCGCAGCAAGCTTTTCAGCCATCTCGCACGGGCCTCAGTTTCCTCACTGAAATGGGAGCCTGGGGTGTGCGGTTTGAGAGCTTCAGCAAACTGCCCAAGATCACCCAGCCTGAGCGCTGGGTGCACAGCCCCGAGCCCCGGTCGGTCTCTCCTGTCATGCGCCATCCCAGAAGCCTTAGATGTCAGGTTCAATGACCACTGGTGTCCTCGTGTTGGCCTTCTGGGGGCCGATGTACCCTCCGTCCTGGGGTCCAGTGCCAGGGCAGGAAACAGGGGCACAGCTCTGAGAGCCGGGCTGTCTCCTCCCCTCTGTCCTTGTGCCATGGGCTGTTCCCGGCTCACGGGAAGCCTCCTGGCCCCCAGAGCCTGCCCGGACATCAATGGCCTGCGCAGGATCCTGGACGAGCTGACCCTGTGCAGGTCCGACCTGGAGGCGCAGGTGGAGTCGCTGAAGGAGGAGCTGCAGTCCCTCAAGAGGAACCATGAGGAGGTGAGCCCGGTGCCACCTGGCTGGGCTCAGAGAGGTTAATCACCCTGGCTCACGGGGCAGGGTTGGGAGGAGGCGAGCGGCCCCTCAGGGGGGCTGAGCCCTGAATAGGGCTTCCTTTGCATGGTCTCCTGTGCCCCCCCGCAGGACAGAGGTGAAATGTAAAGGAGGAACTGCAACCCTGGCACACAGCAGGTGCACACGGAGTCCAGTTCCGGTCCTTTCCTTTCCACCTCCACAGCGGCCCAGGGGAAGATGGGCAGGTGGGGACGCAGATTGGGGAGGAAAGGACGGACCAGGCGCCTCAGGGGATGGCAGGTGGGAGGGCAGGGACCAAATGTCACCTGCGAGGCCATTCCCGGTCCACGGGATCTCGGGCAGACTCTTTGAAGAGGCAATAAAATGACAACAGCAGAGAGTCCTGACTTAGCAAGGCAAATTCAACATTTCCCCCCCACTTTTTACGAGGCAAGGAATTCTGGAAGGGTAGCAAAAATCACATTCTAATGAAATTAGCTTCCCAGAACGGGAAAGGGCTTTCCCAAGAGCAGAAGCGTAACGTGCCACCACCCCGCAGAGAGTGTATATAAGTGTTCCCGAGAGGCTGGGGAGCCCAGAGCCCGAGCTCCTCCTGCAGGGACAGACGGACGGACGTTCTTTCCAGCAATACCATGGCCTCTCAGCTCTGCACCTCCACCTTCTCCGCCGGCTCTGGCCGGGGCCCCTGCGGCTCTGCTGGCAGATTCTCCCGGGTGTCCTCCTTCCGCTCTGGTGGCTCCTGCAGGGTCCCGGGGCTGGCTGGTGCTGCGGGGTCCATCTCCTCCTTCAGGACAGGCCTCTCTGGCCCCGGGAGCTTCTTGTCCAGCTCCTGCCACCCCTCTGGATTTGTGGGGAGCGGGGCCTGGCTCTGCGAGGGCTCCTTCAACGGCGAGAAGGAGACCATGCAGTTCCTGAACGACCGGCTGGCCAGCTACCTGGAGAAGGTGCGGCAGCTGGAGCGGGAGAACTCGGAGCTGGAGGGCCGCATCCGCGAGTGGTACGAGCGCCAGATCCCCTACATCTGCCCTGACTACCAGGCCTTCTTCAGGACCCTGGAGGAGCTGCAGCAGAAGGTGCGTGTGAGGCTTCGGGTCTCTCCTGCGCCCCCTCGGCCAGCCCTGCCTGTGTCGGAGGCAGGGAGGGGAGGCCACACACCAGCCTCACTGGGGCCGATGCTGAGGGGGACCCGAGGGGGACCCTCCCCACCTCCTTGCCTGGAGGCTACGTGTTCCTGGGCTCACTCGCTGCAGAGGGAGCCTGGGGTGCGCGGTTTGAGAGCTTCAGCAAACTGCCCAAGATCACGCAGCCTGAGCGCTGGGTGCACAGCCCCGAGCCCCGGTTGGTCTCTCCTGTCATGCGCCATCCCAGAAGCCTCAGATGCTAGGTTCAATGACCACTGGTGTCCTCGTGTTGGCCTTCTGGGGGCCGATGCGCCCTCATCCTGGGGTCCAGTGCCAGGGCAGGAAACAGGGGCACAGCTCTGAGAGCCGGGCTGTCCCTTCCCCTCCATCCTTGTGGGGCTGGGCTGTCCCTGGCTCATGGGAAGCCTCCTGCCCCCCAGATCCTGCTGACCAAGTCTGAGAACGCCAGGCTGGTCTTGCAGATGGACAATGCCAAGCTGGCAGCAGATGACTTCCGGGCCAAGTGAGTGGGGTTGGCTGAGCCCCTGCCTCACCCCTCCCCGTGCCTTTGGGAGCTGGGGTGGGGAGCAGACAGAGCTGTATGCGGTGTGGGTCCTGGACCCCTCCCGAGGGAGGGGAGGCCCACCATGCTCCCGACCCCAAAGCAGCCCCGCAGCTGGCAGAGGGGTCCTGCCTGGTGTGGCTGCTCTGGGTGCTCTGGCAGGGCTGTGTGTGCGCAGGTACGAGACGGAGCTGTCCCTGCGGCAGCTGGTGGAGTCGGACATCAACGGCCTGCGCAGGATCCTGGACGAGCTGACCCTGTGCAGATCTGACCTGGAGGCGCAGGTGGAGTCGCTGAAGGAGGAGCTGCTGAGCCTCAAGAGGAACCACGAGGAGGTGAGCCCGGTGCCACCTGGCTGGGCTGAGAGGTTAATCACTCTGGCTCACGGGGCAGGGCGTGGGGGGAGGCGAGCGGGCCCTCAGCTGGGCTGAGCCCTGCGCTAGGCTTCCTTTTCATGGCCTCCTCCCCGCTGGCTCCCACCCCCGAAGGATGTCACCACTCTCCGCAGTCACCTCGGGGACCGACTGAGTGTGGAGGTGGATGCCGCCCCGCCAGTGGATCTCAACAAGATCCTGGACGACATGAGATGCCAGTATGAGGCGCTGGTGGAGAGCAACCGCAGGGAGGCAGAGACCTGGTTCAACACCCAGGTGGGCCCGGCTTTCAGGGTGGTTTCTCCCATGCAGGGGGTGGCGCTTGGGTTGACCGCGCGCTGGACCCTCCTGTGCCCTGCAGACCGAGGAGCTGAACCAGCAGGTGGTGTCGAGCTCGGAGCAGCTGCAGTCCTACCAGGTGGAGATCATCGAGCTGCGGCGTACGGTCAACGCCCTGGAGATCGAGCTGCAGGCGCAGCACAGCATGGTGGGTGCCTCTGTGTGGTGGGGGCCACAGCTCCTGGCCACCTTGGAGGCTGTCCAGCCCCGGCATGTGGGCTGTCGCAGGGCCAGGTTGCAAGTCTCGCAGGGCCAGGTTGCAAGTCACACACAGATCTCGGGCTGTGGGCATCCAGGTGGGGTTCCCTCCCGGCCCAGCTCCTCCTCTCTCCCACGGCAGAGGAGCTCCCTGGAGTCCAGCCTGGCAGAGACCGAGGCCCGCTACGGCTCGCAGCTGGCCCAGATGCAGGGCCTGATCGGCAGCGTGGAGGCCCAGCTGGCCGAGATCCGCTGTGACCTGGAGCGGCAGAACCAGGAGTACCAGGTGCTGCTGGACACCAAGGCCCGGCTGGAGGGTGAGATCAGCACGTACCGGAGCCTGCTGGACAGCGAGGACTGCAAGTGAGCACCACAGCAGGGCTGGGGGCTGCGGGCTCTGCTGGACTCAGCCTTCCAGGCAGACTCTGAGGTGCTTGTCCCAAAACTCAAGGGGTTGGAGCCAAAGCTGCTGGAATTCTCCCGGCCCTGGGCTTTCCTGGTGCTCAGGGATTCAACAACCCCACACCCAGCCTCCTCCTGAGCCACCGTGCTGCTTGGGGCTTTCTAGTCCTCCCCCGCCCCAGCTGCACCTTGCCTCCCTCGGGGTTTTGCAGGCACTGAAGTGGGCTGAGCTGCCTCTCAGTCCTGCACCCACCCAGCTCGCGTGATTGCCTGAGTTTACTCCCATGGGTCTCAGCCCAGGGTCTCAACACCCAGGGCAGCCCTGCGTGATTCCTCCCCTCAGGCTTCCTGCGCACCCTTGCTCCACGGAGAGGAAGCCTGCTGTGAGCGGTTCCTACATCGCCCCCGGGTCCTGCGCTGCTCCGGCTCCCCAGGTGGGCACTCAGATCCGCACCATCAAGGAGGAGATCAGAGACGGGAAGGTGGTCTCCTCCTGGGAGCATGTGGGGCCCCGCCCACTGTGACCCCTGGCCCTGGCCAGGAGGAGGAGGAGGCCCCAACGCTTCCTGCTGCTAACCGACCCCACCCTTTTCCCCAGAGGGGCCTCCTCTTAGCTGCGTTTTCTACCAAAATTCTTCTTGTGTTGTTTATGGTCTTAACTGTGCTTTTTACACCACGCAAAACCAGATTCCCCTGGACATGTACCCATTAAAGTGTATGCTGTTGGCAAAGCAAACCTGGTTCTCGCGGCGTTCACTGGCGGGGAGTTCCACGGGGTGGCCTGAGCTTGTGGGTTGCTTTCAGAATCTCTTCTCTGGCCTGGAGTGCTAGGAAGAGGCAGAAGGATTAAAGATATTTAATACTGGGGATCCGCAGGCCCCAGCCTCTCTGGTTGGGCACTGGCCACAGCCGCAGCTCGGCCCTGCCCTGGGCGCCCCTTCGGG